CAAGAAAAACAAGATTTTTAACCAAAATTTCGAATGTTCTAAAATGGATTCAAAAATATAATTTAAAAATCAAAAAATCCTTTCGTCTTTCCTCATAATAATAACATAAACATTTTGACGATAAACTTTTGTCTTTATATTAAAACAGAAACATTTTAAAAATCTCTCATGTTTTTGTTTTAATATTCTATAATAAATAATATTTAGCTCTATTCTGTATTGAGCCCGTTTTAAAATTAAATGTTAATATATATATGAAAAACTGGTAATCCGTATGGTTAGACCCAAGGAGGATAAAATCCAGAGAGCTCAATGTAAATTCAGAGCAAATAATTTAAATAAAAACAGACCACTTTAAGGTTCCATGTTCTAAATTATTTCACCACAGCCCTTTTAAAAGGATGGCGGATCATCAGACTTTACTTCCAAAGGTTGAAACAAAAAATGAAACGAAATTTACACATTTTTGACGGGCTGTATTAAACATATGTAAATTAACGAAGTGAGGAAGTGAGGGGGGAGAGAGAAGATATGAGTGAGTTAGATGTAATTTAAAATTTCTATTCTTTTATACTTAAAATTATATATATATATATATATATATATATATGTGTGTGTGTGTGTGTGTGTGTGTGTGTGTGTGTGTGTGTCAGTCAAATATTATAAAAATCTCTTTCGTTACTTCCCTGTGTCGTTTCAACAAATATTTTCATGGAAATTGCTTTGATGAACTTACGTCTTTTTGTATCTACACTTTATGAATTTAAGCGCAATACTAGATCGGCGGCAAGGCCTCATCATTTTGCAGTTGAAGTCGAACCGCAAGTTCTATGTTAACAGTTTCTTCTATCGCACTTCTCGCTTGTGAAACTCTCTTCCGGCTTCTTGCTTCTCAGTCAAATTTGATTTTCAAAAATTTAAATGCCATGTCAATCGTTATCCTTTGTCTTCTTAATTTCTTTTATTATTCTCTCTCCTTCGTGGTTTTATTATAATGTTTGTGCTGAAATTGTTAAAATAATAAATAAAAATAAAAAAAAAATATAATATTACTGAAAAATGTTGTCATGTTTTTTTTTATTATTAAAAATTGATATGACTTTTAAAATGTATATAAAATTTTTTAACTTACATAATAAATCTTACCTGATGTCATCAGGAGTCTAGAAGACGTTTTCCAAAAAGTTATCATATTTAGGTATTTTGGATAAAATCTGAAGAATCTGCAATATTATTAGTCCTGACATCTATATCTCTGACACTTTCCCTCTGCAGTCACATAGCTTCCCTGTCTTTTCTATGAATATTTTCAGAGTAATTGTTCGGATGAACTTTCTTCTATTTTACCTAGAATTTATGAATTTAAGCGTAGTACTTGATTGGCGGATAGGTCTCATCATTTTACGGTTAAAGGAAACTAGTATGCATAATTTTGTGCATTTCTCCAGTAATCCTTCTTAGCTATTAATACAGGGAAAAAAGTGCGCCTCATATGGAGGGTAGGAATCGGTGGGGCCGAGTTCGAATTCCTGTCGAATCCATTACATTCACTTATGTGCTAATACCCCTGAGAAAGGTATGGATCCTCTTCTTCTCCCACTAGCTACGGGTAAATAGCAGGACAGACTGGGTACTATAGCCTTGAATAGCAGCTGGTTTACTGCAGAAAGAAATGGCAACCTACTCTAGGGGGGCGAAATCTGCCTCATCAGTGATGTATTGAAAGACATATGATCGCCTAAGCATGTATCACACATGGCAAATAACTGACTGAATTTTGTACATGTTTCTATTAAACAAGTTATTCCATTCTTTCTTTCTTTCTTCCTTTTTTCTTTCTGTCTTCTTTTCTTTTTTCTATCTTTCTTCCTTGCTTGCTTCCTGCCTTTCTTTGCTTTTTCTTTCTTTCTTTCTTTCTTTCTTTCTTTCTTTCTTTCTTTCTTTCTTAGAGCGTTTACTGTTGTTGATCTTGCCAACGATTCTCCGGTATTTAATTGACCGAGAAACGTGTCTGCCATACGACTGCATTTCATGAATACGTGTATTTATTTTCCTCTGCTGCATAAACATGCGTGTTTAATTAACCTCGATGGACACAAGGCTATGAATATAGGGCGCTCAGTGATGTTCAAACAGATGCTAGTGACAGCAAAGTAACTTTCGAACAATTGTTCCAGGGAAAGACGTCCACTCTCACTCACTCACTCACTCTATCTATCTATCTATCTATCTATCTATATAGCTAGCTATTTATTCATTATCTATCTATCTATCTATCTATCTATCTATCTATCTATCTATCTAACTTTTCCCTGTCCCTCCGCCCATCTATCTAGCTACCTAGCTAGCTATTTATTCACTATCCATCCATTCATCTATCTATCTATCTATCTATCTATCTATCTATCTATCTATCTATCTATCTATCTATCTAGCTAGCTATTTATTCATTATCTATCTATCTATCTCTATCTATCTATCTATCTATCTATCTATCTAACTTTTCCTGTCCCTCCGCCCATCTATCTAGCTACCTAGCTAGCTATTTATTCACTATCCATCCATTCATCTATCTATCTATCTATCTATCTATCTATCTATCTATCTATCTATCTATCTAAGTTTTTCAAGGGCCCCTCTGTTCTTCCTGCCCATGGAATTCCAGCCAACTTTTCCTGATTTTGACTATAATTGTTCTTTCTGTTCCCATTTTCTTTAAGACTACCTTAACCAGTTTCCTTCAAACCTTTTGGGGGGATACTGCCATATAATAAAAAGGATATGGCATAGCAATCCACCCCTCTTTTCTTTGTTTCTAACGAAATGTTTCCATTTCTTGCTCAGTGTTTGAAATGTTTCATTCCTTAGTCCAATGCGTGTTCGGATCACGGTGTCACATTTTTCCAGCTATCAACACAGTAGCACAAAGGATGTGAATTGCGACACTGAAATCCGAAGACGTATTGGGATAGCCAAAGATGCCTTGCAAAAGCTAAGCAGAGTATAAAGAAACAGAAACATTTAATTAAAAACAAAGAAAAGACTACTTAACTTTTACGAGACTTCTGTCCTCCTGTGTGACAGTGACTGCTTAACAAACACCTCACAGATGAGGAAGATACTTGAGGCAACAAAATGTGGATCTACAGAAGGATGCTGAGGATACGACGGACCAAACATGTGAGGAACGACGAAGTTTTAGAGTAAATGGAAACAAAAAGGAAACATGCTTAACATCAGGAAGAAATAGTTGAAATTTCTAGGGTACATACTGAGGAAAGAGGGGTTGGAAAATGTGATACTCATAGGGCAGATTGAACGCAAGTCGGATAGAAAAAAAACATACTTAGTATGATGGAGTAAATGGATGATGGAATGAAGTTTAGGAGAAATTAAAAATGAAAAAACAATTATTAAGAGCTACAAAGAACAGGAAGCTGTGGAGAGCCATGATCACCTACATCCTAGACATAAAGAAGTAAGAAATGAACCCAAAATGTTTACGATATTGCAGGATACAGAATTCCAAAAGAAATCATCACCTTCATTTTGCGATAATTGACTTATCTGCCTGGTGGCCCCAGATAATAATTCCTAATACAAGTAAAAGCATTAGTTAATTGATACAACAATAGTTAATAAAAATGAACACGCTACCGCCCCTGTCTAAATGACTGGATTTCTCTGTATCCTTGGGAGCAAAAAATTATGAATTGTATGTGCGTTTAAAACTCAGTAAATTTAAAAATAAGTTATTCCAAAATTCACTTGAAGATTAAACAGAACAAATGCTTTTAATTTAATTATATAATTAAATTTGAAGTTTTTAGCTTCGGTTTTTGAAGCATGGTAATTCCTGTGTAGCGAAGAAGCCGTATTTTAAATCAGTTAATTTATAATATTGTTATAGAGTAGTTTTCACAGTGGAGGCTTGTATTTCACTAAGTCGGTCCTAAAAAGGTTCGACGTACAAAACGTTAGGAACTTGATATAAGAGTTAATGACGCAGCAATCTAGTTGTGGTGGCTGATACTTTAATGTCCGACATTGACTGACTGACCAACGATATTTAGTCACACCCCCACGAGGGCATCATGTGGCACAAGGCCGGTTTAACGTGGGATCTCCGAGCTCGTGGGCTCGGCCAAAAATATGCCCATTGAACCCGTATAAACGGGTTCAGGGTCTGTTTACCTCCCCGACAGAGAATCCGCCCTTCGGCGTAGCCTCCTTCGGGTTCCTCCCCGTCCGAAGGCAGAGAGTTTAACCGATCAGCCGGTCGACCAACATCGACTGACTGACCAACTCACTGAGCGACTGGCGACTGTTACTACTCCTACTTATTATAGGTGGGAGAGTCTATTAACAATAGAATAAATGTGTTCCAGTATAACAAATATATATATATATATATATATATATATATATATATATATATATATATAAGACATTTTTATGTTTCACATTATTTTTATAGATACAAATATTTAAGTAAATACTCTGTTTATAATAAACAGTATTAACAACATTTACCGGCCTGAATGTCCGAGAAATTTTTCACAGAAAATATTCTTCCTGAGACAGGATTCGAACCTGTATCCTATACGGAACCGTTATAGATTGACGTGTCTTTAGCCGGTAAATGTTGTTTACTACTGTTTATTATAAACAGAGCATTTACTTAAATATGTGTATCTATAAAAAGAATGTATAAACATAAAAATGTCTTAAAATAATTGTCGGACCTTTTTCATATTTGTCATTGAAGATTGTAGTTTAAAAGCAGTAAGATCGAACTTGCTAACCGAACGCTCCTTTGTGGCCAAATCGGTAAAGACACGTCATGCTAAATGACGGTTCCGTATAGAATACAGCTTCGAATCCTGTCGGAGGACGAATATTTTCTGTGAAAGTTTCTCGGACATTCAGACCGGTAAATGTTGTTTACTACTGTTTATTATAAACAGAGCATTTACTTAAATATTTGTATCTATAAAAAGAATGTATAAACATAAAAATGTCTTAAAAATGATTGTCGGACTTTGTCCATTTCATAATATATATATATATATATATATATATATATATATATATATATATATATATATATGGTTGGATAGATGTGAGTTTGTGACCCTGGGTCACAAACTCATAACTGAGTTTGTCTGACGATCGCTAAAGCGTGAAACCCAGGGTCACAAACTCACATCTATCCAACCAAATATGTGAGCTCTATCTCTGATATTGTGCGCTTTCTAATAAAGTACCGGCATATATAATATATAAATAATTATACATATATATATATTTATTTATATACACTTTTCACACACACACACACACACACACATATATATATATATATATATATATATATATATATATACTCATTCTAAGAAACATTGTTATGCAACACACTTTTCGCAATATTATATAGACTTTATATGCTATCTTTATGAAAATCATTTGTCCGGTCGACACCGTGATGTGCAGTCCTTTGTCTTGTTCTCGTCACTTCTCATGACGTTTCCTTAGGGCAAAGACTATGCCGTTCGTGACCCTGTTTACTTGAAAATTGCACCGGTCCTCGGGGAACTGATCCTTTCAATTCGAGTTAATAGTCTGCTGTATTATTCTCGCGAGAATTTTGACTGTAATAGCAATTACAAGCAGAATACTGCGAAAGTAATTTGATCAGCTTGACTTAGCTCCTTTGATATTGTAAAGAGCTAGGAAGACTGCATTAGAGGGACCCTGGGGTAGATTATCCCGTTTCAAACACGTGAAATGGAATTTTCGTTGCTTAAAGCGGGGGGCCATTGTCTGACGTAATGGTTATCACGCCTGGGAACGGAATAGGCAAAGCGAGTTCAAATGCCAGCCGCGGCTGTTCATCTTAATGTCGCACTTCCTTTTGTCCTGCGTTCTATTACCAAATATATACACGAGAAGGTCCTCTCATTTGCATGTCACGACAGATGACTGGAAATAAGGGTGGACTAAGTATACTGAAAAAGATAACACATATATGTGATGGGTGCTGAAAAAGAACAATCATATGCAAAAACATGGTGAAAAGAAAAAAGAAACATATAAATGTCTTCTAAAAAAGGACAACTCATATATACATAAGGTGGTAAAAAATCATATATATATATATATATATAATTTATTCAAAAATTATAACATAAATAAGTTATAAAATCATTACAAAAATAACCATTTTGTTTCAAGACTTCTAGTCTCTTATCAAATGAGGGGGGTTAATGTAGAGTTTTAAAAGATTCTTGGTCGATTTGAATCTGTTAAAACTCTTTATTCGACATTCAACACCATCGCTTGATAAGACACCAGAAGTGCTGAAACAAAATGGCTATTTTTATTGTGATTTTATAACATATTTATCTTATAATTTTCGAATAAATTATATTTGGTCTACTCTGTATTGAACACTTTTTAATAATAGTATTTTTGGTTATTGGAATTTATTCTGTATACAGCAATCCTATACTTGGATATATATATATATATATATATATATATATATATATATATATATATATATATATATATATATAACATTGAAGTCAACACTTAGAGGCGACAGGCTGTTTCATGCTAGATGCAATCGTCAGGCCACGAATGTTGTTTTTTTTTCTCGGCTGTTTATATATACCGGTCAGTGGTGCATTGTGGGTAGTCTATTTTGGCGGTTATTTTGCCAGAAGTCGTTTATTTATTTGGGTTAAATTATTTTAATTTTATTTTTTATTTTTATTTCTTATATTATATATTTATTTTTTTATTTTATTCGGTGTTTTATTAACGTAGTAAACATTTGTTTGGTTTGGGAATATAATTAAATCTATTTATTCAATTTTGGGGTTGATTACTGTAGTTTATTCTAACTATTATTTTGGCGGGAGCAGTTTTTAATTTATTTATTACTGCATTTATTTATTTTGATTGATTATTTTTACTTGTTTTTTCTAACGTTTAATTTATCGGGATCGGTTTGTTAGTTTGTTTATTTATTTGGATTAATTTAGATTAATTTATTTTACTTGTTTTTATTATTTATTTATTATACTGCATATTTTTATTTACTCTTTTCCGATTTCGATTTTTAAGTAACGTAGTATTTATTTTTTATCGTTATATAAGAGTTATTGCTATTTTTCGTCCGATTTTTGGTTTGATTTTTATAGTCTAACTAATATTTTGGTCATAATGGTTTGTTAATTTGTTTATTATTTACTTTATTTATGGATTTCAATTTTTTATTTATTTATTCTATTTCGTCTATTCTAACGAGTGATATTGATATATATATATATATATATATATATATATATATATATATATATATATATATATATATATATGTTATAAATTAATTGATTTGAAATATGGTTTTTCCATACACAGTTCTAACCAGGTTTCCAAAATGGAAGATCCGAATTTAATTTTTGTAATTAAATTAAAGACATTAGTTCCATT